ACCCGGTGCTCTCTTCAGCCTCCTCCCTGTTGGCAGCGGCTGTGCGAAGCGCCTGCGGTATGGACCAAATCCGAGGCGCAGGGGGGACAAGCTGCTCCCGTAGCAATTTTGTCCATCCCACCTGGTGCAAATGGCTTTGCAGAATTCACAGAATTGCCCCTGATTCCTGAGGTTGCCATGGAAAAGACGCTGCCGCTTTCCTCTTCCCAAGTTTCTGTGGTGACTGAAAGCCAGTTCCCGGCTCCAGCCAGTGAGCGACTGGTCGAATCAACAAATCTGGAGGCCTTGGTTTGCGAGATCGCGGGAGCCTCCAAACAAATCCACGGAGCAACTGGCCGTTTGCGGCCCGAAGAGAACCCCCTTGACAATGGCCAGCTTTTTCGTGCCAACCCCACATGCCCAGAATAGTGATGCCACAGATTGGTTCATACCAACTGAGCAACTTGAGAAGCAGAGGACTATCAACCCAAGAACGGGACCGCAGGCACATCACCCGTAAGGCCTTCCGCCTTATCGTTGCCGGGGTTTTTCAAAAGTCCTTCGGGGTTGGCAGGCTTGGGTCTTACTTGAACCAGATTTGTTACATCCACTCAACTTGCACCTCAAATGGCGTTTAGGTCCAACAAGGGAAAATGGCTCGGAAGCCCTATTTTTTCGCTTCCCAAAACAGAGGGCCTCCACTTGCTTAAGTCCCCTGGGAAAAAAAAAAATATATATATGTATATATATATATAATTTTTCCGGTATAGTGATAGATTCCCTTTAAAATCAACTGGGGAAAATAAAAAACATAGTCTTAATCAAATGGAAGAGGGTCCTTCAGGAACTCCTCCACATGCCAGTCGCTAGTCGCTGAATCTGCCTGCGCCCGAGACCGCAAGCAGCGCACCGCGCTTTGGAGCTGTACGAACTGCGCCTGCTGTCGCTCCAGCTCCTCGAAGTCACCCCGAGAGGCCGACGCCGAGCAAAGAAAACCCCATCGAGTGGATGAGCCGAAACGGGATTGGGGGAAGGTTTCACGATGGGTGTGTCATTTTTGGAGGGCACCCCTGTGCGATCCGAGAAGGGGCCATTGCAGGATCCCCGAGCCAAATGGGGAAAACAGACCCAAACGACCGCAGGTTTCATAGGGGGTATGCAACTCTAGCAACTCTCTTTCAGAGGTATCCCAATTGTTGAGGTAGTGGCTTGGGGGCAGACGGCCCATTAAATCCCAGAGCTGCCTTGCAGATTGCATGAAGCCAGCGTGAAGCCAGCGAAGAAAGTTATTTATAGAGGAACCGTCTTTTGGGGAACCTCCTGTTTGGGGCTCCATGTGAATTGGGTGAATTGGCCAAGAGAGGTGTGTCCCCCCCAAAAAAGAAAAAAACACGCTAACCATTCATGGGTATGCCCCCTTCAAATCTGACTCCATCGAAACAACATGCATATCATGGCCGGCAAAGAGGCGATCTGCTGAAAATCAGCACCACTGTGACCATCCCAATTTCCTGCCCTCGAACATCGATGAAACATGGGAATCCTTTGCTGGTTGACTTTAAAGGAACCCACGTGTCTGCGCCTTGAGTCTTGCGGGCCCTCTGGACTTTCCACTGGGACAAGCGACGCCTTCGAAGCGACCCTTCTGCCCCGAAGCGACACCGCCCAAGCCAAAAAAGACCTCCAACTAGGCACGAGATGTTCTCCATGCCGCCTTCTTTGCCTTCAGGCTTGCTATCCCAACCTAAAGTCTTTGGGTTTTTCGGGCGCATCAAGTTCCCGATCCTGGACTTCGTGCTCCGCCGCCACCAGCGCCAAGTAGCTGTTCTTCGCTGGCGCCTGGAGTCAAGTCACGAGTCGGTTCAAACCCACCTTATGGTCAAAGAAACTGCACCCAAACACAACCAGCCCCCCCCCCACCCCCCGGAACAAAGTTTGGAGTGGAGCCAAACTGGTGGCTTTCCCTTTGGTTTTCGTTTAAAACCCACTCAAGGCAGGGTAACCTGAAAACAAGACACACATGTGCATCATTATCTTCACCATCTCTATAGCCAATAGCCAAGCTATGTGGATGAGGTGACTCAATCATGCTGCCGTCTGGACGATTTGCTCTTATGTACCTATGCTGTCACTCCGGCCGACCACAAGAGCATGTAGGGTACAATCCTCCAAGTGGGGCACAGGCTTGCTTTGGATGCCCAACTGAGCACCAACCTAAACATAACTAGTTTGGAGCTGTATGCATGCACATTTGGCGCGACCCCACTGGCAAATAGTTATTTCCTTTGATTCATTGATTCCCCTGCCGCTGGATTTTCCAAAAGATTTCGGGGTAATGGGATTGCTTGGCCGCCAGAACAGCGTCACAAGAAACTACTTTTGGGCGGGCTGCCGACGGCGATGCTCACATCGCATCTAAACTTCCATCTGCTTTAGTCTCCTGGAAAAAAACTACAAATATGTCCAGGAGTGATAGATTCCCTTTACACTCAACTATTCTTAAGCAAATGGAAGTCAACATATACTAACAATCAAACCCGGATCTGTTTCCCTGTATGGCAACCAAGGCGAACGCCATTTGAAGAAACTGCAAGCAACAATTGCAGGCCACATACGATGTAACTGGGACATACCGGAAAACAAACGGACTACAGCAAACCTCTAGACAGTTAAGTCTGCGACAAAGGGAACAGCTTGCAAACCGTAACCTGCCACTTGCACATGTGTCCCAATCCTTTGATACAAGAGATGAATTGCTCCCAGTGATCAATGCAGATGATTCGGATCCACCACGGATTTTGTTGTTCACTCTTGGGGCAAGGTAGGTGGAATTAAACAGTTTCGCCACATCTTTCCTCGCAGGTGAAGTAAGTAGTACTTGATTGCTTGCTTCAAGAAAACCACGGAAAACCCATTGCTGCTGTTTGATGCGTTTCGTAGCTCAAAGAAATACCCGCATGCTCACCTGAAGGCCCGGGACATACAAGCCCAAGTGACTCCAAAAGGGTTCAACGGTTGATTCGAGTTGGACTGAGTATGGGACAGTGAGAAACAGCGAGTTTGGGCATATCTCAAACCGGAGCCCAGGAATTCTGGATCTTCTCTTGGAGTCCCTTTTAACCCCGACCTAAAGCTGAAAAAACGCACATCCGTTTGTGGAACATCCAGCTAGGTGCACCTGAAAGCACGCTATTCTCACTCTGGGCCCCGTACGCGGGGCGTCGGCCGCACCATTGGACCATGAAAACAGCGCGTGAAACAACTTTACGAAAGAACTTCGCCTGGCTGAAATGACTCCTCTGGTTTGAAGAAAGGTTGGCTGGGACCTTTCGGGATGAATTGTGGTTTTGTAGTTGTGCGCAGCCGCGAAGGCTTCGATCAGATCTAGGGCTGACTCGAAAAAGACACCTCTGTGCAATTCCTGCGATTGAGGGAAGACAAAGTGTAATGTTGAGGATGAAGAAAAAAAAAACGGCGGTGTCCCATTTCTAAGGGGGGGGGATCCTTCACTTTTCGCAGGAAGGCTCGGGATCCGGCAGGTTTTACTTACTTCCGGGGTCATGAGGTGCATAAAGAGATTCGTGGCCGGAACCCCCTTTCGGGGTTCCACCTTGGTCCATTTTCAGACCGGTGAAACTGCCTGAAGCCCGACCAGCGTGCGCTGCCTGCCGAAAACCTGCGATCCAATTGCTCTTGGGTTGCCACCCCACTAAGGGCTTAAGGGATGTTAGCAACTTCCTGCGTGGGATGGTCATCCCAGCGGCGGGTTTTTCCTTTGACCTTGGAGGCAAGAGGTTCTCCCAACTACCTCAGTTGTTGAACCAAACATCATATGACGCGGCGCAGTTTGTGAACCTCAAAATTCACAACGCATTTTCCCAAAAGCTGTGTCAGTCAAAAGGATTCTGTCCTTGTCGGGAAGTCCCCTTTTCTCAGCCTAAACCCCCGTTCGTTTTGCAAATGAGCAGCATCCGTTTCTTTTTGTCCTTTTGGTTCTGCAAGGGTTATGCAAAGGTCCATGAAGGATTCACTCAGCCACCCTAGTCCACAATGGAACATGGCTGGGCGTTGTGTTAGTTCCCAATGCTTCCAAACCTGCCATCATGAACAAAAGAGTGGGAAGCCCTCTCAGTCGTTTTACAACAACTAGGTCTTCCAGTAGAGAGGTTAGAATAAGAGTACCTTTCTTTCTGTAGTCTATTTTAGTAAGGGAACCCTCATACAAAAAAAAGGGAGAAAGGGGCACTACCAGGGGACCTGGACAATCCTAACATCTGAACTAAGCCCCAAGCAAAGGACCTTCACCATGGTGACCGCGTTTTGCCCCGAGGTCAGCACGGCACAAGGCATGATTTTTTGCTCAACATGGGGTTGGGGCGATGCTGAAAGGGCCAACTCGATGGCACCTCGCCAAAGCAGGGTTCTACTTTTTGACTACCCCAAGATGGACTTAAATGCAGGGGTGCTTCTTGTGGGCGAATGAACCACCCCTGGGTTTAAGCTTTGTTGGGGTGCGCGAGCTTGTTGGACATGCACCTTTTCGATGCCAAAGGTGCTAAGCGTGACATGAAGGAAACCCAAAAGGGCGGAAGGGCCCTTACGGTCAGAGAAGTCTGGCAATGGAATCCCATGTTCCGCCATGGGCGCGGTGTAGTCGACCCTTGGAAGCTGAAAGCTGTGGTGAAGGCTGCTGGCAAGAGCCCACACGTTTGTCAGCGAGCTGTCGCCCCCGCACCACCAGGCCCCCCGGGAACGGGGGGGGTAGGGGGGGGGGTAGGGGGGGGGAGGGGGGAGTAGGGGGGGGGGTAGTGCTGAGGGGAACAGAAAGCATTTTTGCGACCGAATTCACCACGCTCCACGCATTCTATGTACATTGCCTGTGGGCCTGTCTTTCAGGGTCAAAGGATCCTCAAGTTTGGAGGATTCGCTGGACATGGAACGTGGACTGAGCATTTTGGCGGGCATTAACTTTATCTAAAACGATCTCATACAAATGAATGACTGAACCTTACAGTGAACATGGCTGAGCCCTGTCCACAAAGTTTAACTTAGATCGCAGCCATGGCGCAAGCCTTTGGGCCGCTAACTGGACACTCGCACCTGCAGCTGCTGGGCTACTGGTGTGGCATCCCCCCCGCACTTGCGGCCGCCCCAGGTCACGATGGATCCGTCGTACTTGACCGCAAGGAAGGCGTTGCACGTGGAGTGCACCTGCTCTCCAATGTCCAATGCTGAGTTTGTAGTGGTTATGTAGCGGCTATTTCGTGGCCTTTGTGGTTCAATCAGTGGCTGTTTCGTCGCTGTAGGTCCCAGTTGCACTTCCCATCGACCGGATTGGCCAAAGTCCCTCCCGCCAACTAACATGGAACTGCAACAAGGCCCTTTCCAAAAGGAAAGTAGTCTTTCTACAGGAGTCTGCGCACTTCCATGTTAGCTGGTGGGAGGGTAGATCTTTTTGCCTCGAAGTGAAGGAACCCTAGACACCTTCAGGCAGACTTTCCCAGAGCCATAGGTTGACCCTAAAGAAAAGGGAGCCTGAGCTTGCACTCTCCTTTCTTCTCCTTCCGGGGAGCGCTCCTAAGTGTGTGTGTGTGCGTGTGGAATTGCATTTTGGAGGGCTGTCTTTTTCTTCAAGTTGGTTTAAAGTGAAAAGAAACACGGGACATTTCTACTTTGGGGGTGTCTCCCTACTGATTTCTCACATACCCATTTGGAGGTGTGCTTGCTTTGTGCTTTGTGGGATCTCCCCTGGTGCGGTGGCACCACTTCGGCTAGTCAACTCGAGTTTCCAGTTCTCCTCGCAAGGGAAAATTGTAGAAATCAAAATTCAGGGGCCCACCCCTGGGTGGCAAAGTGAAACATGTCGATCCCAGAATCTACTGGCTGGAGATTCCCCCAAAGTGCAGAGTACCCTGAGATGGGAGTCCGCCTATGAATCAATCAGGGGTTTGCTAATCCGGAGTTCGCATTGACTCTTTGCCCTCCTTTACTGAAACCATGCGAAACCTTTCCCAGGCCAAATCAAGGCTGTGCCCTTTTGTCAGAAATTTGCCCCATCTGAACCTTGCCAAGATTCCATAACACACTGGGACAAACCAAGCACGCCATAAGCCCTTTAAGAGTGCTTAGGGAAAATGACAATTGGCATGATACCAAAGTTGAACTCCAATCCCCGTCACCAAAATACCAGCCGGATTCCCTTGACTCACACAGAGTGGCAACCAAAACCCCAACGTTCCACAACCATGTCTAATCAGAAACATGTGTTACACTCTTCAGCGGGTTGTTAAAGGGAAAACCAAAGAACAACCGCACATCGGGATTTGGAGAACAAACACATAATGGCCATGGTGACCTGCTGCTCCTTTCTTGTTGGTACTTGAGCTCTTGTCCCTTCGGCGACACTTCACACAACATGCAGGATGCAAGTCTTGTCCACTTCCACTGTTCCCTTGTGAGCCCGCCCCCCCAATGCCACACCTCCTCCATAACAGAAAAACCGCTTAAACAGGTCCCCGCTCAACCTAGTCCGAAAACCCATAGATGACTCGAGAAAAGAACCCATGCATTGATCATACTTGTTGCCACACACATGCTCCCGAGAAGCAAAACAGAGGGGGCCCTTGTGAGTGAACTCAACCCCAACGGGTACGCAAGCAGTTGTTCATCTTGTCACTTCCTGAGTGGATTGGCCTGAACAAGCTTGATTTGTTTTATTGAGCACTCAAATGGTCGAAACCACAAAAGTATAAATTCCAGAGCCATAGCACAGGAAGTGAGTCTTTCCAAGGCTCGCATCTGCAGTTAGTCTCAGCTTTTCCCGAGTTTGAACTCCTGGGTGTTGACCAAAATGATTAAGAAACAAGGGCCAAAGTGTGATCTGGCAAAAAGCTGTCCACTTTGGTTGGATATATAAAGAAAAAACACCCCTCACTTTTAAAGATGACAGCCAAAGGTGGAGTCAGATTGACATCGTTGCCTCAGAACTTATCAGTCTACCTGGGGCCCGGCTCTCACCGAAGATGGAAATAAGCTTGTCTTAACATGAGGGGGCCACAGCACTTGGTGTCCCTTTTTATTTCTCCTTTAAATCAAGCCCGAAAGGGTTCCCCTGAAAAAGACACATCCAAATGTAGGGAGAAATCGCCGATGTTTTCCAAAGAGCCAGCCTCATGCACATCGCCGCAAAGAAAACCCTCCACCGCCGAGCTGTTGCCGCCGGCATCCTAGGGCTTTGCCAATCTTCCCACACCTTCCTGTCAGCTTTGAATGACCGTGGTGGGAGGGTAAGCTGGCAAACACACACACACAAGCACGCAAACACAAAACGAACTCACACCGACAAACAGAGACACACAGAAAGACACAGAAACACGCAGAGACAGACACACAAATACATTTTGTGGGGGTGGCTTTTTGAGAGCATCTGCTTGGGGTGGTTTCAAAGGGAGACTCATTTGTCTGGGTGGCTTCCCCAACAGAAAGATAGATCCCACCCAAAGCAAACTCGCCACCCCAAAAAGGGTATCCTCCAAATCTCGAAACAACAAACAACATTGTCATGTACATAACAATCATATATGCATTGGTTGATTCAATATGCGTAACAACATATGCATAGTATATGTATGGTATGTATGTGTACATATATATAATACGCGCGTATAAAATACATAGATATGCGACTCCCCCCCCACAAAAAAAAGGAGTTTACTTGTGTTGACATTTTAAGGATACATGTGACAGATGGACATGTATATATATATATATATATATATCATATTCAGGAGCAACATATGTATAGTATATGTACATGTATACATATACATCTATATATACTCGTATGTCCGTGTGATAGATATATATATATATATATATACACAGATAGATGCTGATGATACTGTTCTTTGGGACCCCGCACCCTTGGCTCCTGCACGCCCCAGGTCACCACGGCTCCCTCGTCAGAGATGGCCGCGAAGGCGTTGTCCGTGGCACGGATGGCGCGGATGCGGCGCAGGTTGTGGGCCACGCAGCTGCTGTCCCCGCCGCGGTTGCGGTGGCCCCAGGTGACCTCCATGGGACGTTGAAAGGGTGGGGGGAGGGGAGGGGGACGGGGGAGGGGTGGTGTCTTAAAATGTGGGGTTTCTGTATCAATTGGCTGGTTGGTGGGTTGGTGGGTGGGTGGGTTGGTTGGTTGGTGGGTTGGTTGGTTGGGTGGGTTGGTTGGTCGGTTGGTGGGTTTGTCGATCCGTCGGTTGGTTTCTTGGTCGGTCGGGCGGTCGGTTGGTGGTCGGTGGGTTGGTCGTTCGGTCGGAGGGCTCTGAATCAATCTCCGGGGAGTTTTGCCAGCTGGCCTTGGCTCAGGAAAATCTCAGGAACATCTGAGGAGCATTGACTTGTCCTTCGGAGCGGGGTGGACCTTTTGACACCTTTCTTGGGCAAAGAGCTTGGGACGAGTGTGCAAACCATCAAACAGCGCAGCACCAAAATCAATGCAAAACCCATACGCATGATGCCTTGAATTCCGTTCCTCTCTCCAACGTGCAAGCTGACTGTCTTCTCCAAATCCCTGGAATATCAGAGATTTCGTCAAACTGTTTCTCCTACCAATGGATCTGGAAATCAACAGGGATCCAATAGAACCATTCCCACAGGAAAGAAGGGAGGCCCTGTCTATTCGTCAATTTTGAAGGGAGGCCAAACCGCAAAGTTTCCCGTGGGCAAATGAAGGCTCCCCAAATAGTGTCTAGAAACCATGTGACAGGCCCTCAAAGCCACCCGCTCAGTTGACGATCTGGCCAGAAAAAGTGACTAAACTCTTTGGTCACTGTTCCTACAAGGATGAAGGCTCCTAGCAACAACAAACCCTTTCGCTACTTCAAGCATGGGAGTCCGCAATTCTCGATCTTAATTCAGTCATGCGAAAATTCAACCATCGTAATCCAGAATTCACCTTCCAACAGAGAGTCTGCCAGCTCAACAAGTGAGTCATAATCAAAAACTGTTCCCAACATGGCAAACCCAAAACCTTGTCAAGGAATGTACCTTACTAACCTTGGACTACCAGGGTGTTGCTTGTGGCCGAAGTGAGAAGAAATGAAACTCAGAAGCCACTTGCCATGGAAAACCGGAGAGACTCCGTGGAATCCAGAGCTCGAGAGTTCTGCCAAGTCGCCACTGAGCCGTCAGCTCTCAGGGCGGCAAAGGCGAGGCACGTGCTCCAGACATGCCGCACCTGGCAGAGCATGCCAGGAGTCGAAGCCGCTTTCGTTTAAGCAGGGTTTCAGAAGCCCCCAACCACAGAGAAGAGCTACGAGGGCACTAAATAGCAACAACATGTTTGCTCCAGACCCCTGGAAGCAATGCTCGGGATGAAGTTCCCGTCCGGTCACCGGTTCTCTTGTTGTGCTGGCGCCCTTTGTGGCGTTCAGGGAAAGGACGAACTTTAGCCCCCCCCCCCCCCCGACCCAGCAAGGTTCTCCGAACCTCTTTGAAGAATCTCATGCTTTTCATGCGAGGAGGGGGCCGCCCCGGGCTGCCCCGGGTTTTTTCAAACAGTTTGCCCCATGTTCTCACATGTTCATTTCTTTGCATATACATATGTGTATATATCGGATGAGCAACTAAGTGTGGCCCGCATAGGACCTCCAGCAGACCTGGTAGCTTGCGAAGGGACGCTAAGTCGAGTGAAGCTCTGAAAGAGGGGACTGGACGAAAATTGCCCAAACCATGGGGGCACTTTTAGATGCCTGGGGCCAAGTCTCGACTGCGAATAGCCCAAACAAGGGGGCCGAGGCGAAGGCGATGTTTGGTTGATTCGCTTTGGGTTCCTTTCTTTGCCAGAGTTGCCGTCTGAGAGCCTTGGCTGCTGACAGTTGGGGACCACAAATGATGAGGTTTTGTGGCTTTTCTAGCGTTTTCAAATTTCCACGGGAGAGAAAAGGGACCCCTTTCTTTGGTGGCTTCCAATAAAAACCCTCCAAGCAAAAAAGGAAACCCACAGGTCTGGGGCTATGAGGTGAGGCCGACTTGGGAGCCTCGAGTACCTTCGCCCGAGTGGATCGTCCAAGCAAATCTACTCCCCTATAAAGCAACGGAAGGAGCTCAATTAGGGGCTCCGAGCCCCGAAACGGAGTTTCCTCTAGACAAGGTGGGTTAATTTTTGGTTCGGGGGATAAGACTAGTTGTTCAACCACTAAAACCGTCGCAAGTTTCAGGTCTAACACCCCATGGTGAGAAACCGACCACCCACCCGGCATGCCTGCGACAGCTGGTTCCTAAGAGCGGTGTTGTCCAAATCCTCAGTTGCCCCCAAGAATCTACCAGAAGTCACCGGATTTCCCCAAGTCAAACGTTGATCAATTTCCCGGTGGCCTCCATTCAAACGATCGCCACTTTCGGAGGTTCCAAAAAGAGAAATGGAGGAACCCCTGTCTACACTCGCCAAAATTCCATCAACAGTACGCTCTGCCTGGCATTCCAAGCAACAGTGAAAGAATGATAGGAGCTTGATACAAAGTCTAAACACACATGTTCCTATCCTCGGAATCCAGGCAGGCTTACCGTCCAAAACATGGAAGTGAAGGGGGGTTTGTGCACCAAGCCATGTTCACACTAAAAAGCTCCCAAACCACTAAACTGGTCCACACCCAAGTGATCAAAAAGCCAAAAGTGCATGAACTCCGGGAGTGAGTCTTTCCAAAGCACGCAGCTCCAGTCGAGTCTGCCCAGAGCATACTGGTCTAGTGCAAACTGTTGACTCTTGACTAACAGAAATGAAGCAAAAACCCGGCCCAGGTGCTTTGATGATTTTTGCAAGACGGAGTTTGCCACTATGGCCCAAACCCAAGCACACAAAACGCCCACCTCAGGGAGTAAAGGAGTGAGCCATCCAAGTCCCAAGGCCAAGGCTCTAAGTAGTGACCGCCCCAGGTCACCACTGATCCATCTCGCCTGACCGCAGCAAAGGACACCTCAGCGCTTGTCTTTGGCCAGGGCCGCGGGAAAGCAACTGGATGGCTCGCCTTTTCTGGAGCTTGTTGCCAGCTTGTTCGGGTGGTTTTCAAGGGAAACCAAGAGGACACCGAAGCCATTTCGGGGTTTCCCAAAAGAAACAAGACATACTCAGCTGGGTACGGGGCAGATTGAAAACAAGAAACAGCGTTTCCCTTTTTTCTGACGGTTCCATAGACCCAGCCTCGTTCCCGTAAACCTCCACCACGTCGCGAAGGCTGTCCTCCGTGGATGCCCCCTGGCTCAGCTCTTGGCCGCGGTAAAATTTGCTTGGCATTTCCCTCCATTTGCTTAAGTCCCTTGAAGAAAAAAAGTCCAGTAGTGATAGATTCCCTTTAAAACCAACAGGGGAAAAAATATTATTAACCAAATGGAAGTGTCCATTTGAAACAATCCCTAGATGACCCACCAAAAAGACCAGACCTGAAAAAAGGGCACCTGTAGAAACTCGGGATGCTTGGGATTATTTGGCCAAGTGGAACGATGGGAACATCGCGCATGTGACTTGCAAGCATGAAGGAAATTGCACACCCTCTACCTCTCTCTCAAGCCAATTGGGATGGTCTTTCTGGTGTTGCTGGTGCTGCTGTTGTTTGGGGGATGTTAATCTTTTTGTGTTGTTCAAAAGCTTGAAATCCCGGTTTCCCGTCACACTGAAGACAAAGCTCCCTCAATTTCCGCCAGTACCCCGCGTCACTCAAAGAAATATCGCTTTGACTTCGTCCACAAGGTGATGTTTAAAAGCACGAGCGGGATTTCTGTGGCCCAAAGCTTTCGAAATGCACAAGTGCCATCCGTTGGTCTGTGGCAAAACTGTTCATGTCCAGCTCAGTGGGCTGCCTACTCAGCCCGGATACAAAAACCGCGTCTCCTGTTGGTTGGCCCGAAGCCAGGAGTAAGGTACCCACAATCTTGCCAGCTCTACTATGGACCCTGAAAAAGCAGTCAACCCCAGGTCCCCTTGGGCCAAACTTGCACCTCGCAGCAAGTAGTTGATTTTTGTTTGCTGGCAAGGGGGAATGACACGGAGCGAAAAGTTGATTTCTTAGCTAAGTCTGGCAATGTTTGTGTCAACTTTTTTGGGTAAGTGCCATACCTCACAACATGGTTTCCACTGTCCAGTGGCGAACGACGGGCTTTCCGCCATGTGCTTCCCAGTTTGTTCATTTTTGGGAACCTTGGACTTTGTTGACTTGAGCCCTTCAACAGTTGGAACTCCGTGGGTTCTCCCATGAAATGGGGCTCCAAAGAAGGGACCTTGAGGGACCGAGCTCATCATCCCAAGTCCTCCACGTGGGAGGCGTCCCCTCCGCTGGCGCCGTCCCCCCAGCAAAGCACCTGGCGGCCACCGATTACCGGACTCAGTCGCCCGTTTGGGACCCACAGAAAGGTTAACTTTGCGAGGCCACGACGGAAAAATAGGCCAACAAAGGGAAAGCCAAAACATCAAAAGGTGGGTTTTGGGCACCTGATTGAGTCTTCCATTTGCGCATGTCTCCTGGCAAAAAAAGAAGTATATGTCCACTAGTGATAGATTCCCCTTAAAACCAAAAATGGGAATAAAACACATTCTTCAGCAAATGCAAGACTTTGAAGGGAAGTTGAAGCAAAAGCGACTTAGGAAAACCAAGCAATTGGGAGTTCGAAGATAAATTACACTGGGCACACATGCTGCAAACCATCTGCAAAAACAGCGCTTGGAGACTTGGGGCCCTTTGATACATGTTTCGGGAAGGTAAGCAAATCGAATCCGTCACCCCCCATAGCCTTACCCGCCTGGTTTCGTATGTAAACGGACTTTGCATGCGTTTGATTGACCAACATCCAAAATAGCTTTAAGCTGCATTTGCTTTTACCATTGTTTTTCCAATCACCAAGCCCAACACCTACAATGAGAAGCAGCAACTGCAACATCTGATATAAGAATCAGATCCCCACGTAAAAGCAACTTTCATTTGCTTAAGCCCCCTGAAAAGCAAAACACAATAGGTCCAGTAGTGATAGATTCCCTTTGAAGCCAAAAAAGGGTAAATTCAAACATATTATTCAGCAAATGGAAGACACTCCTCATGGCTTTCCGAACCCTTTTGGAAAACAAACCTCTGGCTCGCGTCGTCCCGTCGCCCGGAGGCGCCTGGCCCTCGGTGGTGAGGGCTGCAAAGGCTGAGGAGGTACAGAAAACACGGCGCACGCGGACCTCACGAAAGCAGGAATGGCTGGTATCTAGGGGTTGATATATTTTCCCTGGGTTTCCGGAGGTTTTCTAGAAAGAAGGATCCCTGGAAAGAATGGGGAAAGTACCCCTAGAATGCTGAGCCGCACAAAGCCTCTGCCCTCCCACCAATTCACATGGAACCTGACGTTTGGGGGGGGGTTCCTGGTTTGGACCAGTGTCCTTTTTAAACGACCCCCTGTCAGGTTCCATGTTGATTGGTGGGAGGGTATATGGGTGTGTCTGGTTTTTTAGGGGACCTCAACAAAAGAGTGCTGTTCCTCTTTTCCTCTTGGTGTGTCCCCTGTAAAACCGCCAAAAAAAAACTACCCTAGAAAAAAGAGACATCCCAAATAGCCATGTTTTACAAACCAAGATCTTGTAATGAGCTTCTTGTTCGTGTGGTGGTTTCCCAATTGCCCTCTACAAGAACCATGGTTTCAAATCCGCAAATTGCCAGTCCGAACCACAAATGAAGGTTTTACCAGAATCAGAACCTGGCACCAAAGGGGGTCTACGTCTACCCCAATTGTGAAGAGTCAAAAGGGCGGCACCTGTCTATGGCTAGAACAGTCACCCTTAGCCGGATGATTCTGGCTTTGGCATCCCCACCCAGGTAGATTGACAACGAAAAGTGTTGGATGAGACTCAAACGATATTCTGACGTCCCAACGAGTGTTTTGTTTTACCAGACTCCCCACTCAAGGAGACCACAATTCAGGGCATGAGTTTATGTGCCCCAGTCTCATTCTCGACTCCAGGCAGGCCAGCAGGAGGGAGGAAACCGAAGCTCACTGGCTCGAAAATCATGGCTCGGTGAATGGATTCAAAAAGCCCCGCACCCAGTTGGGTTTTCCTTTGTTTTGCCCTCACGTAATGCGTCAAAACAGGGGGATCCCCCCCAAAAGTTAGGTGTACATTTTAGGGTAGGCCAAATAGGAATTTAAGACTGCAGATATTTTTTTCTTGGTTGCTTTCTGCTCCCCCGCTAAAAGTTTGACTTTTAGTGGTTTAATGGGGAAAACTCGTTAGTTGGCAAACAGTTAAAGTCCTACCATCCCTTGGCAAAATGCACCACAGCTTGCACCGCACATGGCCAAGCGCTCGCCGAGGCCACCGCGATCCGGCTTTGAGTGGGGGGGGAGAAGCGCTGTGGAGGCCCTGGATGTTTGCTTTTGGACAAACTCAGTTGTTCAGTGACCCTGGAAAAAAGGGAACCCTTTTTGGGGAAGACAATTTTTAGTGGGGCAGCCACCAAGAAAGGGAAAATAATTGGTGCCACTGAACAACTGAGTAAATGTCTGAATATCCCACAAATTATGTGAAACAAACAGGCCTCCACAACGTCCCTTCCAGGATCTTTCTCGAGGCGCGTCCAACTTTCCGATCAGGTCGAAGGTGGCGGTGGAGATCGCGCTGCCCCAGCAAAGCAGCGACCCGCTGCGGGTGATGGCGGCGAAGGCGTACTTGCCTCCAGACTGTTTGGTGACGTGTGGCGAAATGGAACGCCACAAAAAGTTGCCCCGGTTATGCGGTATCTTCAGTGAACAACAATCACGGCCCAGTTGCCCAGTGACACCTGGTAGAAGGGATCCTATGCTAGGTCCTCCAGTAGAGAGGTTAGAATGAGGGTACCAACTTTTCATTAGTCTATTTTAGTAGGGGAACCCCCCCCTAAAACAGGGTAAAAGGGCACTACTAAGAACCTAGGAACTTTGGAGTCCGACAAACAAGGTGGTTTCCCTGTTGGCCCTCAAACCAACAGGGTGCAAAGTTCGCAGCTTTTTGCATTGGTGGGTGGCTTGGACAGTTAAACATAGGGATTTGGACCCACAAAAGGTGGACGCGGAACCCAAGTTGCTTACTTGCTCAAAGGACCGAACAAAAAGAAAAAGCAACATTTCCAGATCTTGGACCAAATAGACCAGGCATTGGAAGCCAGAAGGATGAACAATCGGCGTTGGGCAAGCAAAATTGACAACTTGTGCTGTCTTTGGCCACCAAAAACATATCACCATGCAACAATGAGGCCTGACACAAATCTCAAATTCACCATCTGAAATTGGTACCCTATTCCAAGACCGACCCATACACTCTGCAGGAAGGGAGGTGTTGCCCCACCCCGGCGCAACTGACACAGCCGGCAAGTGGGCAAGTGGCATGCGAAGATCTCTGCGACATCGCCGCGCGCCAACTCGTCAGCGACCTCTTTGGCATCGCCACCTAGGGAAAGGTGAGCATCCTCCAATGTTCAAACCGGACTATAAAGCCCTGACCCGGCCCCCTGGAATACAGGAATCCCCACTTAATAAGGGACCCCATGACTAACAACTGGGGGTTTATTAAGCAGGGGTCGACATTACCAAGAAACATGAAAGTCGAAAGGGACACTTTTCAAGAGGACTGTAGTCTTCCAAAACCCTCCTGTCAGAGTTCCATGATGGCTGGACAGCTTATCATCTTGATGTTCCACTCTTTGTTCTTTGCTTCACCGAGACATGCTTAGACATGTGTTAGGTGCGGAGTCCCCAAACACAGCTCTGCTACTTTCAGTTATCACTAAAAACTGATGGGTTTGTTCCTCCCCTTCACTCCATAAAGAAGCATGTGAACCCATCGAGCCCACTTCCTGAGGAAAACGCGGGGGTGCCCTCCGAGAAATGTATGAAGCGCGCTTGTCTCAGGGGCCTGCACCCACCTTCCATACATTTGAATGTGTCTTTTTTGGAGCTCATGTTTTTGTGGTGAAAGCCGATTGGAACGCCATTCTCTTTGGGGGGGTCGCCTAAAAAATGACACACACACACACCTCTTTATTTATGCCTTGGGAGGATTTGGGAGGTAGACATCCCCTCGAAGTTGGGGTTCCAGCCACACCTCAAAACTGGCCTCCAGAGGAGTCGCCCCAGGCGGTCACTGACCCGTCGGCGCTGAGGGCGGCAAAGGCACAGTCCTAGGCACGGTCACCGGGCAGCAGGACCTGAACAGAACTTGGTGCGATGAGTAGGGAATGTGGTTGAATGAACCGGGCAGCCTTGGTGAGGAAGCCTAAATGGAGCACCTCACGTGCAGGGCTTACTTTGTTTCAGACATGGCCGACATGGCCGGTCTGATGGTTTAACTTTTCCAGATGGTGTTTGTTTTTCGGTTGCCTAGGAGGAAGGGGATTCCCTAAACCACCAGTTGGATGTGTTTTTTTTTGGGCCATTCCAACTCATCCCCTGCTGAGCACCAGCAAGTCAACAAACCAACCAGGAAGAATCAAGAACAACCAACCAACCGATGGACCGTCCGACCGACCGTTGGCACCATCTATGAATCTGATAGACCTATTGCAACTTGAGATTCTGGACCCATGCCCTTGCAAACCCGTAAGATCCCGTAAGGCTCCTTGGATCAAGCAACCAGCATGCAACCTCCACTGCACAAATCTCAGACCAATGAGGACTCATTAAAAATCCCGAATGATCAGCTTCCCCCTATATTTGGATCAGTGGTTTGGAGGTTGGGGGGCGGGTGTCCTAATCCTCTACAAGAACCGAGGGTTCAAATCCCACCAGCTAAGGGTTGCCTGATATGAAAAAGTAGTCAGTACCCCCTTTTTCACCCACGGACCAAGCAGCAAGGACCAACATCCAGCAGGTTCGTCACCACCGCCAGACTAAAAAAAAGCAAAACCAGAACAGAAAGCAACCACGAACAAACCATCCGCAACAAGTCGTCGCCACAACCATCTGCAATCTTACAATAGCTCCAACACCTGAAATAAGGGATCCCCAAGTGAAGGACCTGCACGGTAGTGAGCTGATCGGCGAGTTCGCCATAGGCGCAACCATCCCCTGCACCCTATAGATGCCCTAGAAGGCAAGTAAACCAACCACGCTCCAAATTTTATGCTCCTAAACCATGGTGTAAACACTTCTCCTGATTTTTACGATTATAACATGTCCAGTTTGTTCTTTGGGTAAATTTGGGGGGCTTTCTTGCTCCTTCTGGCACCGGAACTCCCGTCCCGTCCGGTCTCGCACGCCGCGCGGCCGTCGCCCGCACGGTGCACACCGGCGACGTGAAACGGGACGGCGCCTCGCCGCCGTAGCTGGCGGCTCCCCAGGCCACGACCGAACCATCCGCCTGACGGGACCCGCTTAGCTCCATGTTTTGCTGTTTTTCTCTATGCTCCCACCAAAAAAGCACGTGACAAGTGTACCACCGCGGCTTCCCTTCTAAAAAAAACGGCACCATGACTAGGGGGTCATAATTTGGTGAATGGGCTATGGAGGCTCCAGGAACATAGTTGCGCCTGCCTCTTTTTCGACGGTAACCAAAGAAGCGCCCACTTTTTTGGGGGGTTCCCATGTTTGAGATATACTGTTCTCTGCTTCAGAATGGGTCAAGCAGTCAAGCATCGTTCGCCAAAAGGCAACTGACCCTAGGTGGGCCCTTTCCTTTCAAGGCGATGTTAAAACAACCAAAAGGGACATACTGGGATCCCTCCCGCTAGAGACGGCCAAGGGACCCTTCGAGGATGGTTGAGAGGTGAAAGGTGGTTTAAAGGGCCAATCAAAAACCAAATTCATATGGTGAGTCAACAAGTAGGAAACCTCTGGAGGAAACCAGGGGGGCAGAATTCGCGAGTATCAATCAGTCTGCATGCGCAACCACAAGTACCCGTGTGCCACGATTGGGGGTGATTTCCCTAAAATTAGCCCCTGACATGTGGCTTTTTATGGTAAGCCTTATTTGAAGATGCGGTTTGGGGACCTCATTTTCTTTGGGGTCCATGTTTTCAGTAGAAATGAAGGGGACCAACAACTGAATGCCCCTGGTTGAAGTGTTTTTTTCTAGCCCCGGACCAAATCAAAGCCAATAGGCAGCCCTAGTCCGAGCGTGGCCGGTGATGCTGGGGATGCGGCCCACCGACCGGGGCTACGCCCCGAGCCGTAAAAACAACACCGGTTCCAATGCCCCTTACCAGCCAAACTGGCAACAGCTAGAAGTCTGGAAGGGTAGGACAACTGCAACAATACAAGAGGAAACCGCTGGAAACGCAAACCATGTTGTAGCTTTGGGGGTTTGGTCATCCTTTCGAGGCCCGGAGCAACCCTGTCACAACACCAAAAAGGCGGGGGTTTTAAGGGTACCCCTCAACCGGCTCTGGCTTTTTCTTCCAGCTTCTCTGTTCTATATATTCTTGAAGCTTCGGGGATAACCCAAAGCTACGCGCACAAGCCTATGGGAGGTTTGAAGCAGAAACAGAAAGGCACGCACCTACAGAAAAGTGCGAGAAAAAAAAGCCGAATACTATTGGTCTCTGAAAGATTGCCATCGCCTAAGCCCCCAAAGTACCTGGCAATGCGACGTGGACGGTGGTCACTTGTTGCGACCTGAACTCGCTAAGCGGAATGGTCAAAACAAGTCCACACAACGAAGGCTGATGCTTGCTGAGGGAAACTCCAAGCAACAAATGGGAACATATTGCCGCTGAACCGGCCCCAAAACGTGGTTCGTTGCTTTGGACTCTGTTGGGTCTTGCGGCTGCGCACTGGCACAACCCTTTGGAGCCGCTGAATTGGAACTTTTCGGAAGCTGACCCCTCGCAAGCTGAGTGCTTTCGCCGATGGGCCTTGAGCGCGGCAAAGGCCAGGCGGGTGGCGAAGATTTCTTGGACGCCGCGAAGCTGAGACCTCAACTGTCAGCCTCTCTCGTGGTTTGGATCGCAGTTCTGGGACCCGGCTACCCCATGCCAATCCCAAGCACCAACTCTGGGATACCCGATGCACCGGGGTGAGAGCAGATGCCACAATTCTATTGTGTTGGGTAAGTATAAAGATTATGGCGGCATGACTCAACCAACATGAGGGAATTGTGCGATCTGTTATTCACATGAACGCCCGCTGGATCCTTCTAGCTCCGTTTTGAACGGCGCTGTTCAGATCTTTGCAAACAAAGTGACTTGCCTTCGCGATGCTGGCCCTCCAACTCGCACTCTTCAGTATCTCCGAACGCAGGGGAGTTTCTACCAAGGGGAGGTGACCCACCGTTGCTCTCGCAAACTTGGCCCTCAACCTCAAGGGCTCACAAAAAGGTCGTCCACATTGGCCATTCCCAAAGACGGGAGCATCCTCTTCAAACTCACACTCCAAGAGAACAATACCCTGGTGCTATTCAGGCCGGGGCTGTTTAAACGAGGGCTGGCGAATGATGTAGCTTGTCGAGCCTAGTTCTTGGGGCGAAATAAAGCACGGAAGGCCTTCGCAGCTGCTTGGGTCCCTCATTTCTTCCATTTGCGTTTTGGGCGCCGCTAACCTGATGGGCCATGTCCGTTTCGTTTGAAAGCAAACGGGAAAACATTAACAATCTGGCATGACCCTGAAATCAAGAACCCGCACCAAAAAAAACCATCACGTGAGGTCACAAATCGCTGCAATTTGCCCAGAACGACTTAGATATAAGCCAACATGAAACAGAAATGGGTCTGTCAAGCCCCCAACTTCAGCCTCCAAACGGGTCTGGCCCCAAAGAAGACCACCCAACTTGTGAAAGCATCAGTGAATCAGTTTCATAGTGGGAACAATTATCATGTTCTATACAAATTAGGTCTAAAAAACCTAAGTGGCAGCCAAGGTTACAAAAAGCATCAATCTTCATGCGCCTGCAAGCTTCCATTTTAGGATGGTAATCACATGTAGTCAATCGGTCAATGGCCTGTCATAAAATAACTGTACTCGTCAACCGCATTGCTCACCAATAAAACAACCGTCTTATATTCAGGCTATGCGGTATCTTCAGTGAACAAAAATCACGTTGCCCAGTTGCAGTAACACCTGGAAGAAGGGATCCACTAACATCATCTAGCATAAGAATCACCCACCACAATGAAACAAACTGATTATGGGTATTCTCGAAATGGGTTTCGGACACTTTGAGAAGCAACCTTTCAAAAAAGACAAGTCCAGGGGCAAAAACGGCAGCCCTGTCCGAGGAGGGATTTATTGGCTTTGCCGTGGAATGCACGTGTCCGGCTCCGCTCTGGGAACTTAACAGCGTCAGAGTTTCCCATATGGCTTTTGACTCTTAGTGGCTTAAAACGCTGGGTCGGAACCAACACCAACAAGGCAACAAATCGGCCAAAGGTCTTGAGTAAGTTCTACTGGAAAAGACCAACCTGTTCTCGGTTCCCATTCGGAAAACGAAGAGTTGTCCTTTCTGAGGGTGCCCCTTTTTTGTTGATGGTGTTTGAAGCCAAGCCACAAGCAAACCACCATTCTGGAAAGGTCCCAAAACAATTAGGGGGATCCACCCCCCCCCCCCAAAAAAAAAACAAAAACAGACAAACCCGTGCAGCACCCTCGCTTGGGCCACCGGAACCCATTCTTTTTTCGGGGGGGATCCCCCCACACAAAAACCTAGACTGACCCATGTAGCACCCCAAACCCTTGGGACGCCGCGCCTGACGGCACGGGAGTCCCCGCCACCGGTGGGCAGGCCCCAGGTGACCACGGAACCGTCGCCCTGGCGAGCACTCTGAAAATGACCCTCGACCATACCTGACGTCTTACAACCCTTGCTATTAGTTATGGCCCCTGCAAAAAAAACAAACAGTTTTTTGTTTGCAAAAAGAACAACATCTTTTTTTGGCAGCCGCCTACTAAAATGATCAGAACCAGAAAAAGAATTGCCAAGAACAGTGAAGTGATTTCACTCGTAATGTCGGCGCCTGATGAATAAACACCCCACTTATCCATCATGAGGCCCCCCGGAAGAAATGAATCCCCGGATAATGTTGTGCACAAAGGAAGCATGTAAACATTTCTTAGGTGGGATGGATAGAAACTCCCTTCGAATCTTCGAGGGATACGGTCGGCAGGATCTATTTTGCAACCTACCTCCTACTCCAAATACCAACTTTGTTTAGGGTATATTTTGAAAAACCTGGGTTTGCATGGTATCCTTTCTTTTTAGTAGAGGGTCGACATGATACCCTAAAAAAAAAGGTATTGGGTGTAAGGGTACTTCTTTAGGAAGTTGGACTTTAAGGGTTTGCACCGGCCAATGGCACCCACTCTCAAAAAGGGCCTCGCGGTTGATCCATTCTCCGAGCAAGTATCTGACTAATCCAAAGCGGACCGAACCTTCCACTTGCTGCTGTGTGGGGTGAGTACAACGTCACAAAGATTGAAAAAAACATGAGCAAATCTGAACACCAAAGCATCAAACCAAAAAAAACTGACTTGATTGTGGACTGGCACTCAAGGGCTGAACGTATGTTGCAGACATTAGCTGTAGTATGTATGTGTATATACATATGTGGAATATAACCAGTGGGGTTTATGAGCTCATCCACTCGTAGTTGTTTCCTGGAGTGCTGGCCGTCAAAAGGCCACAAGGACAAGATGCAGAAGATTCACAGTCCAATCTGTCGCATTGTTTTGCGGATGGAGCCAACACAATGCAGGGACCTTTGCCAAAGATTGTCTGACCCCCGGGTGTGCACATATTGCCCGGGTGTGCACATATTGCAGCCCAACCACCCGCATAAAACCACAAACCACACACCCGAACTGCAGTAGGTAGGCTCTAGGGCCTGTGTCCAAACTTTCGCATCCAGATTTGGCTGATGCCTACTTTTTCAGACCGCATGTTGTGACGGAGAGCGCCAAAAACTAAGTCCAAAGGACACCTCCAACTGTGAACCCAACGGTTGCTCCTAGAGCGACCCCGACCACTCCCGATTTGGCCCATATCTCGCTGCCTCAGCAGTTGCCTTCCCCCCACCCAAAACCAAAAACAATATGTTGGAACTCCAGTGAAGACTGTCACCATATGGGACCCAACAAAAATGAGGGTTGACGATCTTGAGCGAAGAGTTGGCTGCTAAGTCAGCGGCCCAACCAAACAGCACAACCCCTACTCTCCCACCAATATGGAACCCACCAGAAACATCCCTTTTAGAGAACTTTGCCCATCTAAGGGGTGGGGTTGATTTATATTTTAGGCCCCCAAGCCATGAACTTTGGGGCTCACTCTTTGACTCAGCTGTGCGGATCCGCCTTGAGCGCTGCAAAGGCAAAGGCGTTCGAGTACACGCCTATGGCATCGAAAGCGCTTCAAATGCTTTGGTGTGGTTTGGTCGTGTGGGGTTTCTTTGGTTTTGGCTAGGGACGCATAAAGAGGCTCGTGTGGAATTGATTTCTTGGTTTGGGCTGGGGCCGGGTTGTCTCGTTGGTTTTGGCTGGAGCTTTCGTGAGTCTTTGTGGGTTGGGGATGGCTGAGTGTCTTTACCCCTGGTCCAATCCAATGGTGGGGATTCCACCAAACCAAAAAGGATCTTTTCCGAGCGCCGCTGATCTAAGAGAAAGATTATCCCAAGGAAGCTCAAACTGTCAACCGAAAGTTCAGTAGAGCGATCGATCAGAATAGGGAACGGATGAGCAACTGACTTTCAATCAATAGGGATGACGCGGAAACAAGTCGGAAGCCATGCGTACATCTCAAGCTGGGTTTCGGACCCCTTTCGTTGGAAGGTCCAGGCAAACCAAAAGGACATCAACCCTTTTTGGGGGACAACATTTTTTTGAGGCCTCAGTAAAACCACTGTTGGGGGACAACCATTTTTGGAGACACCCTCCTTGGCCCTCAGCAAAACCACTGGGCAACGGCAAAGCCGTCCAAGCTGCGGCGGACGTTGCTTTGCAGCTCCCTCTGCGCCGTAGGCGTGAGCTGGCCGCCCATGTCGGAGTCGCCCCAGGCGCACCTTCCGGCAGATCCAAAAAGCACCTGCTTAAGGGAATCCTCAACATGTGTGTGGCTTTTTTGGAGGGGCGTTTGCTTTTGTGGGGGTGGGGTGGGGGGGGGGTTAAGGAAAAGCAAAAGGAACACCACCATGTTGGGCGCCCCGCGATTTTGACACATATAATTACGTCTCATACTCACATCACCTGGCAAAAGCGATTTTCGGCTAGCCCCAATGCTTCATTTAAGGACGCTGGCAGGAGATTGCACTGGGATTTCACCTGCTTCCCTAACCCACCCTCGCCCGAGCGAGCTTCCCGCAAATACGCCCTCTAGGAGGGGAGGATCTACCAAGTGAGGATGGTTCCTGAAAGGTTAAAAGGACACACGACCTATTTTTTCTTGCAGACCCCAAAATGAGCATTAAAAAGAACAACAAGCCAAACAAGTTAAACAAACAGACATCATGTCCTGCAAACATTTGGTGCAGCTGCTTCTTAGAACTAAGTCACAGAAACAGAAAGCAACTCTACACACGTCTAGTGGTTGACGCCCCATTCTCTTCACACATCGCTTCAGAAGCGACCCATGTTGCGGTTTGGCACATTTTCTGAAAGGGCCCCCAAAAGCGAGTGGGGCAATTACAGCTAGAGCTGACACGACGGTGAAACATTCTGAGGAACAAACCAGTGTGTGCATTTCATGTGAGATTCAACATGCCAATAAAGCCTTAAAGCCCTAAACGGTCCAAGTACCTAGGTGCTTCCCTTGATTCATCCTCTGGGTAAAAGTCGCAGAGGCATGGAGGTCGTATACCACTTACGTATACCATTGGGTTAGATTCCAAGCTTCGTAGGATTCGAACCCGCCAAGAAAGACCCAAAGCAAAACTAGCACAACTGTAAAACAATGGGTGCTAAGACCCCATAGTGGGGACACAAAGCGAACGAACAAACCAACAAACAAGCAAACAAGCAAGCAAGCAAACAAACAAACAAGCAAGCAAGCAAGCAAGCAAGCAAGCAAGCAACCAAACTAACTCACTAACAAAACACAACAAAACAAAACAAAACAAAACAAAACAAAACAAACGAACAAACAAACAAACAAAACAAACAACTCAGCAGAAAACAACAAAACCACAAAAGACAAACAACTGAAATCAACAAAAAAAGTTCAGACAAACCCACAACTTCTGCAGAAAACAACAAGCCAATCAACTCAGCAAACATTCGCAAAGAGAAAAGTGCAAGCCACAAAGAAAGCACAAGGTTCAAAGGTCCACAACCGCAAAGCTGAAAGAAAGCACAACCGCAAAACTCTTTCGACAGAGTGAAACGCAGTGCAAATCCCTTGGGGGTATTCGGAGATGTTCATGGGGACTTTTGTGGGGGTTTAGCTTTGATCAGCTGGTTCTCTGGAAAAACAACAAAGTCATGTTTTCCACGGCAACCGTATGCAGAGAAACGACAGAAGCCCACGCAACACCTAAATCCTCGCAACCATAAATCGGCAAAAACCAACAAAAAACAAAACAAGAACTAGGTCCTACTGTAGAGAGGTTAGAATAAGGGTACCAACTTTTGTTTGTAGTCTATTTTAGTAGCGAAACCCTCCAAACGAAAAAAGTTGGTGAGAAAGGGCACCTAGCTTTGGGGCCTAGACAATTGGAAGCTCGCAACCACAACTCAAAAGCAACCAGCAAAACCCAAACAACACCTCAAAACTCGGCAGAAGCAAACAAAAAATAGGAACTAGGTCCTCCAGTAGAGAGGCTAGAATAAGGGTACCCTTTCTTCTGTAGTCTATTTTAGGGGAACCCTCCCATCCAAAAAAGTTGGGTGAGAAAGGGCACCTAGCTGGGGGGGCCTAGACAACTAACAACTCAAAACTATTAATCCTCGCAACCACAATTCAGCAGCAGCCAGCAAGAAACCCAACAAACAACTCAAAACTCGGCAGAAACCAACAAACAACAACAACAAATTGATCGAAACTGAACCCTCCCAACCAAAAAACCGGGGGGGACCTAGACAACTCAAAAGCACGGCCAACGTCAGAGGCACACCGCCCCCGAGGCGGTCACCACCGCGAAGGCCGTGCGTGTGGAGGCGACCGCCTGGACAGGGTGCGCGATCACCTCGGGCCGTCGGGGACCGACACGTCGCTGTGACGTGCTTCCATGTTTCTAGGCTGTTTTTCCAGAGGACTGGGTTCATCAAAGCATATCTCTAGGGTTTTGTTCTTTCTTTGGGCCTTTCCACTCAGAAAGTGAGAAGTACCAAGCATGTCTTTAGTGGGTCGACCCCCCCCAAACGTCATCTTCCATGTCAATTGGTGGGAGGGTACCTTCCATTTCCATTCTTTCCAGGCATCCTTCTAGAAAACTTCCGGAACCCCATGGAAAATTGCTGGCTCTTTGAAAAGCCCTAGAATGTTTGTCGGAAAGGTGTATGATGGTTTCTTTGGTCTTCTTTGTTTTCGTTTGTTTTTGTTTTGGTCTTGTTTTGGTCTTGTCTGGTCTTGTTTGATCTTGTTTGGGGAAACCCAGCCCCTCAAATGCCAACCTTTTTTGAGAACCCCCAAACAAATCAGGGATGTGGCCCCTCTAGGTATTAGCCTGAAACCGGTAAATATGTCCATATTAAAATACCTTTATGTACCGCGTATATATTTTACAGAGGCTTTGGGTCCCTCAAATGCTGACAGAGCTTCCGTCAGAAGCACCTGCCCCGACTCGAAGACCTCGAGCTCCCGCACCAGGGTGGAAGGCGTCACCAGCTTGTCCCGGGACGCCAGCAAAAAGGCGCCTGTCTTGTCACCGCAAATAGACATGTCGCCTTTCTTTGGACGTTGCAGTTGGCAAGTTAGGTGCTCATGAGCCTCGCAAAAGCTGGGATTCTAAGAGACCAGGAAATTCTGCGGGAAGCCCAGCAAACGCCCCCCCGAAGTACGGTGCATGCTGCCCTTCGTCAAAATGCCTGCCACACCACCTGTGAAGAAAGTTTGCGTGTCATTGGTTCCACATCCGTTGGCTGGCCACTTTGCCGAGAACAAGGCCAACAATCTTTGACCCAAAAAGCTCAGCTTCAAAAAGGAGAGCTATTTGATGATACGCAGGGTAAGTTTGTAATTGGGGGGAGGCCTTACTAACTATGGCATTTAAGCAGAAAACGCAGACCTGGGTTTGTTGCGTTGGAGCAACCCCAAAATTGTTGGCTTCCTTTCCCCGGCAACCCCAAATTATTGGCTTCCTTTCCCCTTGAAACCAAACAAGGGGTTTGCCCGCACCAGTGACCACGGCAAGAAAAGAGTGGCCGCCTTTAGTTGCTTCCCATAATCGGAGGTTTGGCGCGCGGTGGTTTTGTGGTTAGGGCACGTTTTCGCATTTACCCCTTGCAAAAACCTCGGCTTCAATTCTCCAAACCACAAAGCCCCGGATAGGCTAAAAACGACTCTAGACTTATTGCCGGTTCGGCTCGTCGGCTTGCCTTCCGCATGTGGGACCTGGCCGAAGACCGGCTGCAAGGTGTCAGCGGTCTCCAGCACACATTCCACCAGCACCTGGCCATTTTTTTGGTTCTCAAAAAAGCTCTGACCAGAAAACGGCGAAACACCAAAAAGACTTGGAAGCCTGCTGTTCACCAGAAAATGGTGTGTTTGGTTCTGACCCCCTTTGGATGGCGTGTTTTAGGGGAGCCTGAAAAGAAAAAAAAAAAACATGTTGGGGTCACTCTATTGGAAACATCCTGTTGCTTCTTGGATATGGCCCCTTCTTGCGTGACTAGTTGTACCCAGCATGGCAGATTCCTTTTAAGCTTTGCGGAGCCCAATCACAGACCCAAACCTCCAAAAGAAGGGGCCGCAGTTGCACCTTCGCTTCGCTGGCAATAATTTTGACACGTCAATGGGACTTCCTTTCGCAAGTCCCACCCAGACCCCAGTGACGATTTCAACTATTCAGGGGCAGCCGCTTAAGGCAGCCCCAACATTCGAGCGGGGGGTCCATGCTTCGCTTTCAGACTTTCCACAAGGCTTCGGCCCAGTTCCGAACGCTTCAAACAACTCCAAAAATCAGCGCGGCTGTCCAAAAAGAAGCTTAGCTAAGCTTTCCCTTCAACCAGAAGCAGGGAAAAACCCCGACAGCGGGTCAAATCCTTGGTTTCCGGTTTGCCCTACTCCTGGCCCTCACGAATTTGGGCCTTCCACCTACGTGGGGGTGTCCCTAAAACGTCGGACCATTAAGTCCAGGTGGAGATGTTCCTTTCTTCTACCTTTCCCGGGTGAAAGTAGATGGGGACATGCTTCCCTATGGAAAACGCTTGCTTCAGCCCAATGGGAAAATATTTTCAAGGTTTCCAGTGATAGATGCCCTTTAAGACCAGAATAAAGAAACACAATCGCAAGCCACTACCTGGAGTCTCCATGACCCTTTAAAAATGCATGACCCCACTATTTTGGGTCATGACCAACCAATTTTAAAGGGTCATGGAGACTCCAGGTAGTGACTCGAAGCCCATGCGCCATTCACCTTTTCCCATGCACCTCGCCGCTCAGCCGCACCACTGAGACATGGACCCCCCTCGGCCGACGAGAAGGGCTGCTAAGAACTCGGTGCTACGCAAGGGGGGTCTGGAAAAACACGGCCCCTTGGTGGGTAAAATTAAAAACATATGGGCCACTTAGCATGCAAGGTGGTCCACAAAAAAAAGCGACCATTTGTGGACCAAGAGGGCGCCCTTTTCATCTATCCCTTTGAAGGGGGGTCACCAACAGGTTAAATGGCTAACACCCAGCCACTCCTTCGGTCCAAAGGCGCCCCGCTTGGGAAATTATTCCACTTGTACTGCCATCACAGCGAGTCAAACACAAGAACCCTTATATCGCTTATTATGGGACCCCGGGCACAATTCATGCGAACCAAAGCACAAAAACAAATGCGCATTTGCAAAGTGATGGTCCCAAATAGTGCATGTACCCTTTCTGAATGGTGTTTGAGGGGTTAGGTGCTTGGACCCTTAGGTAACATCCGTCTGAACATATGGGTGCTTTTGAACATAAGGGTCTCCAAACATATCTCCGTTCAAACCAACTTACAAAAGGTATCATACACACACACAAACACACACAGACACACACAGACACACACACACACAGACACGCACAGACACACGCAGACACACACAGAGACACACACACAGACACACACAGACACACACAGACACGCACAGACACAGACAGACGCACACAGACACGCACACACAGACACACACACAGACACAAACAGACACACACAGACACACACAGACACACACAGACACACACAGACACACACACAGACACACACACACACACCCACACACCCACACACACACACACACACACGCACACACACGCACACAAGCACACACGCACACACACCCACACACACACAGACACAGACACACAGAGAGACACACAGAGAGACACACAGAGACACACACACACACAGAGACACACACAGAGAGACACACAGAGACACACACACAGAGACACAGACACAGAGACACACACACACACACACAGAGACACACACACAGAGACACACACAGAGACACACACACACACAGAGACACACACAGACAGACACACACAGAGACACACAGAGAGACACACAGAGAGACACACAGAGAGACACACACAGACACACAGAGACACACACAGAGACACACACACAGAGACACACACACAGAGACACACACACAGAGAGACAGACACACACACACACACACCGTGAAAAGCTCCCCGTGAGGAGTAGGTGAAGGTAGTAGCGGCTCATTGTGCCAAGTCGCGCTAGCCAGTGCACGGAGGTATGATTTACCGAAAAAAACTCGCAGGGTGGCTTCGTTGGAAACAGACCAACACCGTCCTCTCTGTCCCCCTGCTGTTTGAAAAAAGCCTTTGGTCTCAGGCTGTGGCACACACACTAGGCACCTGAACAGGTGTAACTTGTTTCGCCTTCGACTCAAGCCGGCAAGAGGGCATAGAACACAGGCCACCCAAGGCCTGCCAAACAAGCACCAGGTGTGAAACCCGCGTGCAAGGAAACATGTGAAACATGACACGTCAGCACCTCCACGCACGGCCCCGGCCAGACAGTCGCTGTCTGCGGGCCAGGCTGTTTTGGAGAACAAGATCAAAAAGCCCTGGCCACGCTGCGCATTGCAAACCGGCATGACCAGAGTTCCCTGGTCAGAATCAAGGCATAATGGATCAAGTCAGAATGGATCAAGGCATAAAGGATCAAGGCTTAAGTCGCTCACAGCCCAAGATTGAGCCATCAGGTCAGATGGATCAAGCGCCTCGTGGAACCCTGGGTGGATCAAGGCTTTTTTGAATCACGTCAAAGCAGTCAGGGCTGATGTTGACATAGTAGGCCTCGCAAGAGGCTCACGACTGCTCCGCGAGCGGTAGGTCCGAGGACCACGCAGACGGGAAACACATACTGTGAAAAGCTCCCCGTGAGGAGTAGGTGAAGATAGTAGTGGCTCATTGTGCCAAGTCGCGCTAGCCAGTGCACGGAGGTATGAATTACCGAAAAAACTCGCAGGTACGTTTTCCCAGGATCGGTGTGGTGGCTTCGTTGGACAGAGACCAACACCGTCCTCTCTGTCCCCCTGCTGTTTGAAGAAAGCCTTTGGTCTCAGGCTGTGGCACACACACACCCAGACACACACACACACACACACCGGCAGAGACACACACAGAGAGACATACAAAAAGACACACACACACATAGAGACACACACACAGAGACACACACACAGAGACACGCACACAGAGAGACACACAGAGAGACACACAGAGAGACACACAGAGACACACACACACAGAGACACACACAGAGAGACACACAGAGACACACACACAGAGACACAGACACAGAGACACACACACACACACAGAGACACACACACACAGAGACACACACAGAGACACACACACACAGAGACACACACAGAGACACACACACACAGAGACACACACAGACAGACACACACAGAGACACACACACACACAGAGACACACACCCAGAGACGCACACACACAGAGACACACACACACACAGAGCCACACACAGAGACACACACACACACAGAGACACACCGAGACACACACACACAGAGACGCACACACAGAGACACACACACACACAGAGACACACAGAGAGACACACAGAGAGACACACAGAGAGACACACAGAGAGACACACAGAGAGACACACAGAGAGACACACAGAGACACACACACAGAGACACACACACAGAGACACACAGAGAGACACACAGAGAGACACACAGAGAGACACACAGAGAGACACACAGAGACACACACAGAGAGACACACAGAGAGACACAGACACAGAGACACACCGAGAGACACACAGAGAGACACACAGAGAGACACACAGAGAGACACACACAGAGACACACACAGAGAGACACACACACAGAGACACACAGAGAGACACACAGAGAGACACACAGAGAGACACACAGACACACACACACACAGAGAGACACACACAGAGACACACACAGAGACACACACACACACACAGACACACAGAGACACACAGGCACACCCGCACACCCGCACACCCGCACACAGGCACACGTGATCACACACGCCCGCACGCCCGCACGCACGCCTGCACGCACGCACACACACCCACACACAGTTGCAAATAGTGGGAACCCCGGATTCACAAACAGCTGTTGATTTATAGGTCTCCCTCTTCGTGTGGATTCATCACCTTCGGAGGGCACACCCCTATTACTAGGACGCATTCTATTTCGATCCGGGGTCAACATTACCATCCAAAAGGGAGCTCACCATTCACTGCAAAAGGGACCACTTGCGGAACCCAAGGTGAGCAACCCAGACTTTGAGAAACAAACTGCTGCTTGCCAGGAATCGGAGCTTCGCGCGCCCTGGCGGTCTCGACCGCCATAGAAGCGGCGGTCAGGTCATTGCCGCGGGGTGACGGGGAAACTAGTACCAGGTGCGTGCAGTTCTTTCAAGCACTTGCCCAAACGACATGGGTGGCTCGTCTGTTGAGGGCGCCCTTAAGGGAAACCAAAAGGAACACCACCTTTTTGGGGGTCCCAAAACAAAAAGACAAACTCACGTAGTACTAAAGGCCTGACCTTTTGGGGCTGTGACCAAAGGTTGATAAACCCAGGGAGGAGCAAACGCTCTACCTTGGACAACTGAGTTTGTTCCAAAATCAAATCCAAATAGGGGGTCAATCACATTTCGAGTCGGACTCACGTTCTCTTCTGCAACACCAATTGAGTTGGCTTCACCCAATCCCGCAAATCGCCCTTGCGCCCTTGCAAAGCTGGCAGGCAAATGATGCCACTACAAGAACCTCTCGACATTCGAGTGCTCCTGCTCCTGTCACAAAAATGCAAAATGCACAACGTAGCTCTTCGCAACCCTTGCCCCTGTATGCGACGCCTACCTTTTGAGCCAGGCATCTCTCTTGGCCAGAGGAAGTTCTCCTTTTAATTTGCGTCATAGTCAAACCTGATACCATCATGGTTTGCCCAACCCCTGTAAAGAATCAAAAGCGCGGCAAACCGCACCTAACATGGTTAGGGCTACCCCCAAACTTAATCCACCCGGGTGTGGATTGTGCCGCCCGCTATCGAAGAACCCACAACTGACCCACAACTAGAAGGTGTCCAGAGGAAATGTCATCTTCAGAAGGGGGGCTGCCTGCTTCTCACCGTGCTGCGGGTCTATTGGGCAAGAAGATTGAACCTGTACGTGTGGCTTGCCCCCACTCAAACTCCACCAAAAACGAAGTTGTCATCAATCAATTGGCGCTTTGCGCAAGTGAGTCTGTCAACTATTGGATCCAACCAACAAATGGCTACTCGCGAGTCTCATTCTTGTTCGCTTTTCCCAGTTGGCCCACTTGTTTCATGAGGGTGGGAATATGCCAGGCCTGGACAAAACGGAGTATGAACATGGGCTTTGGAATTCTGGGACAGGCAGCCAACCGCAATTCAATTGGGGTTCGCTCCCTTTTCGTCTTACCTTCGGTTCAGGTGGCTTCTTAATCCACAGAGGGGGAAATTCATCTCACCTGTTCCGCACTCTGCTTGAACGAGCTAAGCGTACCTAACACAATCATGAAGCCGTCAGAAACCAAGTGCTGTATTCACTTGAACAACAGCTGAATCGCCCTGGGCCTCTCGCTGGGAAGTTGCCCGGCCCCATGCTGCCATTTTAGAAATGGAGGGTGCCCACCTATGTAAACTAGCTGTTCTTGACTGATTGCATGGTTTCGTCTGCACTGTCTGGCAACTCTTTTTTGAGCTCCTCTTCTTCGCTAAGCTCTCCATGGCGGATATAAATGACCATCATCACAGTAAAGGACGATGTTCACATGGTACTAGAGGTTGACCCAGCTGGGACCCCAGTTCGTCTATCTTCCTGGCTGGCATGTAGCCAATTGGGAAAGCAATCCTGCACGAAAACAAGACTTGCTACGGTTCGACCAAAAAAAACATCTTCAACTGGCAACGAATCAAACGCTCACAGCCTGAATCATGAAAGCTCATCATACCTCATGTGGTTGCTGAGGTTTTACCACCTGGTGGGCAAATGTCAACAGTTGACGCTGCGCGTCTGACAACTCCGGACCAAGTTGACAGTGTGTGCTGAGGTGCTGAGAAGATCCGCACCAACTGATAGCCGGTTTCCATGCGCATGGGCATCGAAGATTCATCACAAACCGACAGCCCATGAAACAGTTGCTCGCCAAGGACGCCTCAGCTTGGAGAACCGGAAAGGCTCACCTTTGGCCTTGACGAAAGCATGCCAAACAAGCGCACCCGAAAAGATGAATTGGCCGGCTTGCTTTGGACCGGGCTCGCGTTTTCTCGCTCATCTCAAACGCCGAATGGTCATGAAAAAAGGAGGGCGCAAAAAAGGGGACCGGGTGGAACTGGGTTGGGTCTTCTACCCTGTCCTTTCTGGCTTGCCCTTTCCTTCGGGTCCGCAGGTGAAACCTCGATGGCCCCGCGCGACAGCACACGAAGGTACGATGCGACGTCAGTAGCCCCAGTCCAACGGTCCTGAGTAGAAAATCCAGGTCCGACTGGTCAAACACATACAATTTTCCGGCCTTCCCACATACACTTTCTTGTGCCAACAATCCTTGTACATGCTGCATATTCAGTTGGAGGCGTTCGCTTGGGAGCCGGTTCGCTCGGTTTCCACTTACCCCGTGTGGATCCCGGTGGTGAAACTGTAAAACATCAGGACCGAACAAAACAAAGTCAGCCCCCCTTCAGTTGGCAACCATCTAACCAGCCCGCCTTGTGACAGGCAGCTGCGACATAGACTTTTGTTGGTTTTGCCACCCCTTGGCCAAAAGGTTCAGCTGATTTTCATCTACTATCCGTCCTTCAAAAAGTTGCAGAGCCCCGGATGAAGAGAATCTCCACCAAACAGGGCGGGTGATTTCTGGTACCAGCTGCGGCTGCTATTGAACAGGGGTGGTTTCACTGAGTTTCATCGCCGTCGCATCAGCTGCCCTTCACGCAGTCGGATGGATCGGATTGACTTTTCGGCGCCAGTGTGGTTGCAGTCTAGCTTAGCAAAGCACATTTATTGGGTGGGGATTGTTCAATTTAAGTAAAGTATCCTTTGCGTTATCAAGAACACATGTTTGGCACAAGCTGAGCAGGTTGGGTGTAAAAGCTTGGAAGCAGGGAGCCCTGCGCCATAAAAAATTGCTGCAGAAGTGAGCGGAAAGCCAAAAGGGCTTCTTGCCGCATGTGTAGCAAGGGAGCTGTCCGCTACAAACCTCCAGCTAGCCAGTTTGATTGAAGGAAGGGTCCCCTCAACCTCCTTTCGACATGGATCAGCCGTAAAGGTCTACTCGATTGACTCCATGAAAGCGACATCCTCAAATTGAACTGGAACGCGTCCAGAAAACATAAGTGAAACCCGCAGCTGTTTTCTTGAACAACTTTGAGGGACCCAAATTGGCCCTCTGACCTACGGTTTTGCGGAGACCGATCTGAGGAGCTCGCGTCCACCAGCCTCATCCACAAAGGCATAGTTGAAGTTCAGGCCTGATGATTGGATCCACTTCTCTTCTATGGGTGGAGGCTAAGATGGAATGGGGGGAGTCCTTGCACCCCCACCGAGGTGAGAGGGATAGCCTCCCAAACTGATGGAAATGAAGCCTTGAGAAGAGTGTTCAGGCCTGATCAACGGCTATCAGCGGTTGGTGCTAAACGGACAACTGGACAGGCCACGGCGCCTGCGTACCCCCCAAGCAAAAGTATGTCCCCAAACTCCGAAAGGAGAGCTTGTGAGTATCTTTGATCCTCGGTTTGGGGTTTGTGGTTTCAATGTTCAGTGTGGGATTGGTGTGCGAAATCTTCAAGTGTCCATGGTGGGGACTTCCTGTAGACTCTTGAGCAGAAACAACCACACCCTTAAAACGGGGCTCTGATCTTGAAGCAGCTCTCTTTCGGTGTTCATATCTTAGCTTACAGGTGTGTGTGTGTGTGTGTGTGCGCCGTCCTGGATCACGGACGATAAAAACCCGGCGGGGGGCCACCGGGGACCAGGGGGGGCGGTGGCCAACGAAGACCCCCCTCTGGTCCCGTGAAAACGTACCCGCTGTTGGTCCCTTTGTTTTTGTGATGTTGGGTCCCCAAAAGTCGCTGTCTGCTTCCTTTGTTGTTGATGCCAAGGGAAGCCAAGGGTTTCTTGCTGTCTTGTCTGCGAGTGAAGCCACTCGAGATAAGTGTGTATACCCACGGCCTGTCCGACATGGCGCCGTGGGCTGGACTCGCCATATGCGGGAGCCCCCTGCGAGGGGATGACGTTCAAAAGTTCAAGTTCAGTTCGCATTCGCATTGCACTGCCTGCATTTTGAACAAGGCAGCTCTCATGAGGTATCAGGCTCCGGCAGCTTCATTCGCATTGCACTGCCTGCATCTTGAACAAGGCAGCTCTCATGAGGTATCAGGCTCCGGCAGCTTCATGCGCGAGTGACAAGCCGGTCAGACACCGACTTTGCAGTTCATTGATTCACGCTCTGCGCTGACTCAGATCAGTTCAATTCACTTTCACGTTCATGCGATGCCTTGATGTGTGCTTGGGTTTTTTCGTCTTTGAAAATCTTTTTGCTGTTGCCGCGGGGTTTTTGGCGGTCCCCTGGTGGAATTCCCTCTGTGTGGCTTTTTGTGTGCTCGGGTTTTTTGTCCTTGAAAACCTTTTGCTGTTGCTGCGGGTTTTTGGAGGTCCCCTGGTGGAATTCCCTCTGCTTGGTTTTGTGCGCCCGGTTTTTCGTCTTTGAAAATCTTTTGCCGTTGCCGCGGGGTTTTTGGCGGTCCCCTGGTGGAATTCCCTCTGTGGTTCGTGTCCGCCCCACCGGGGCTTTGTGTGTGTGTGCCGTCCTGGATCACGGACGATAAAAACCCGGCGGGGGGCCACCGGGGACCAGGGGGGGCGGTGGCCAACGAAGACCCCCCTCTGGTCCCGTGAAAACGTACCCGCTGTTGGTCCCTTTGTTTTTGTGATGTTGGGTCCCCAAAAGTCGCTGTCTGCTTCCTTTGTTGTTGATGCCAAGGGAAGCCAAGGGTTTCTTGCTGTCTTGTCTGCGAGTGAAGCCACTCGAGATAAGTGTGTATACCCACGGCCTGTCCGACATGGCGCCGTGGGCTGGACTCGCCATATGCGGGAGCCCCCTGCGAGGGGATGACGTTCAAAAGTTCAAGTTCAGTTCGCATTCGCATTGCACTGCCTGCATTTTGAACAAGGCAGCTCTCATGAGGTATCAGGCTCCGGCAGCTTCATTCGCATTGCACTGCCTGCATCTTGAACAAGGCAGCTCTCATGAGGTATCAGGCTCCGGCAGCTTCATGCGCGAGTGACAAGCCGGTCAGACACCGACTTTGCAGTTCATTGATTCACGCTCTGCGCTGACTCAGATCAGTTCAATTCACTTTCACGTTCATGCGATG